GACCGGGACACCATCAAAACAGGACCGGGACACCATCACAACATGACCGCGCCACCATCACATGATCGGGACACCATCAAAACATGACCGGGACACCGTCACAACATGACTGGGACACAATCACAACATGACCGGGACACCATCACAAGGTGACCGGGACACCAATATGACATGACGGGAAAACCATCACAAGATGACCAGGACACCATCACAACATGACCGGGACACCGTCACATGACCCGGACACCATCAAAACATAACCGGCACGCCGCCAAAACATGACCAGGACACCATCACAACAGGACCGGGACACCATCAAAACATGACCGGGACACCGTCACAACACGACCGGGACACCATCAAAACATGACCGGGACACCATCACAACATGACCGGGACACCGTCACAACACGACCGGGACACCATCAAAACATGATCGGGACACCATCACAACATGACCATCACATGATCGGGACACCATCAAAACATGACCGGGACACCATCAAAACAGGACGGGGACACCATCAAAACATGACCGGGACACCATCAAAACATGACCGGGACACCATCACATGACCGGGACACCATCAAAACATGACCGGGACACAATCACAACATGACCGGGACACCATCAAAACATGACCGGGACACCATCAAAACACGACGTGGACACCATCACAACATGCCTGGGACGCAATCAAAACATGATCGGGACACCATCAAAACACGACCGGGACACCATCACATGACTGGGACACAATCAAAACATGATCGGGACACCATCACAACATGACCGCGCCACCGTCACATGATCGGGACACCATCAAAACATGACCGGGACACCGTCACAACACGACCGGGACACCATCAAAACATGCCCGGGACACCGTCACAACATGATTGGTTTCCATGAAAATTCAAATGCTTCAGTGGCAGCCCCTCTGCATATATAGACACGTATTCAGAATCAATTTTATTCCCCAATAGCCATGCTATCGGGTCTTGCAAAACTAATAGGCGGACGGGCGCCGTCGGGTCACCGTCAGAGCTGGTGGGCGGATGGTGTCCCGGTCATGTTTTGATGGCGTCCGGGTCATGTGATGCTGGTGTCCCGGTCATGTTTTGATGGTGTCTCGGGCCCCATGACCACCCGCTCTCCTAAAACTATAATATAGCTTTGCCACATGCTAGCTCACACGCTTCAAAGGATGCTTTTTGCGGGGGTCTCTGGCAGAACAACCCCCAGTAACTTCAAGCGATGCAAACAAGATGCCATTCAGGATCAACGGTCTTCTTCTGCGCTGGAGAGGCAATCTGAACAGTGATTCTCGGGCTGCTGCGTGGCTGCTTTCGGCCAGCTACGCATGCGTTGACATCGAAGCAATTGGAGTGGCAGGAGTTAGCTCTTGTTGCTTAAGAGAGGTCAATAAAGGAATCTTCGATCCATTCACAATGCTGCTGGCAGGTCCGCTGCTGGCAGGTCCGCTGCTCGCTCACGAAAGTGGAACCAAACAATGAAGACACACTTCACACGCTTTGAGTTGTAGTGGAACTTTTGCCATAACCGGCCAATCAACGCGTAAAGCAACTTTCAACTCGCAGTTTTTGTCCATCGCTGCAAGGAACTTGGACGTCTCTTGCGTGAGAGCTCCACATGCGATTCGTACTTGAAAGAACGCTTGCCTGCGGGCGGCAAGAGTCAGCCGGTCTGATGGAAAAAGGTCCCAGTGTCTTGCTACTTCAATGCATTTACTGGAGTTCCTCAGTTGCCCATTGACAATTTTGGAAAGGTGCCTTTGAGAGTAATCCTTTTCAAGCAATAAACGGGGGTGATCTCCAAGGCCTACGGCCTTACGGATAGCAGTCGTGGGACTACCAGAATTCAAGGAAGTTTCATGAGTCCATTCCCAAATGGGCTAGTCGTCACACACTAGTAATGAGAATGTTTGCGCGCGTGCTTTCTGTGAGATCAGGCGGGAGAAGGAAAGGAACAGCGAGGAGGAGAATCAAAGATCTTTTTCGGTTCGGTATGTCTTCCAACAGGCAATTGGAGTCCAAGGACTTCCAAGCAAAATGAATCGAAATTGGAAAGGAAGTGCCACCTGCACGTTGGGAAAACTGAAGGGATTTGCTGTTGGGAGATCCTGGGAGGGTGACTCAAAGTCACAAAAAACTACCTGGACCATCCAATAGTGCAATGCCACAAGTAGCCCACTTTGGGCACCCTTGGATGGTCGTGGTAGTATGTTTCTTGTCCAACTATTTCTTTAGAATGTTCCTGTTCCCTTGTAAAGGTCAAGTTGCGGCAGGCCGGAAATTGGAGAGGTTGCAAATTTCGTGCTTGGAGGGAGTCCTCGGGTATGCTCCGAGTTGAAATTGTTTTTTCTCACTCTAATTACACGTGGGTAGCCCACAAAAGGCGCGCTCTTCCTACGCTAAATTTTGCCCATGGATCGCTCACAAAAAGGTTTGTTCCAATGTTCCCGCTCGAAATTTTACCGTCTGGTGGCCCGGAGAAAGCCCTATGTTGGAAATGGTTCCTTCCAGCAAAACAAGAACCAAGGACCCCAGAAAAACAAGCACAACACAAACAAGAAAAACCGCCAAAAAACATACAAAGAGTAAGCAAGAAAACACCGTAACAAAAAACAAACAAAAACCAAAGATTCATATACATATGCATGCATGCATGTATGTATGTATGTATGTATGTTTGTATGTATGTATGTATGAATGTATTTTTTCCTAGAGGTGCCTTTCCTTCGCAGATGTCTCAGTGCCGTATTGGCAGGCCAGCGCAGCCGCCATAGGTGTAGCCCTAGAAGTAGTCAACCGCAAGGACTTCTTCCGGCTGCATGTCCTCTTCAGCTGTCTCAGCATCCTCCAGCGAGGCATTGGGGTATGCTCCAGTTGATGCTTCTTCCTGAGCCCTCTCATCTAGCGCCGTGGGGAAGTGGAGTCTCCTGGCGTGGGCCTTGTGTGGGCTGCTGCTGAGTGGCCGGAAATCGTGCCGGCGCCTGCCGTGTCAAGGGTGTCGTGACTTGTGTTGGCGTCTTTCTTCTTGAAGAAGTCACTGAGGGGTGGGGATCCTTTCAGTCTAGCCCCTTTGCATGGCCTGGTGAAGGCCTGTGTGGCAATGACTCTCTTTTGGCTGTGGCGCCTGGGCGCAGCTGACTCGATCTCCCTGTCGCCACAGTGTGTGGGTTGGGTGGCCATTGTGAGGTGTGGTGTAGGCCTGGTCCACACATTGGCTGTTGAGGAAGTCGGTGAACGCTGCTTCGTTAATTCTTTTGTGTATGTTGACTCCACACTTCATGCATTTCAGATAGCCCGTGGTCTCAGCATAGGCGCGTTCATCCTTGCCTGGCTGCTGTGTTTGTTGTTTGGCCAACAAATCCTTGATGCGCAGGGCTCTTGTGGTTTTCTTTGGCGGAGGTGCCGCTTGGGTGGGTGGTGCAGTTCGGATGTCCTCAATCTGAACCTGCGGACACTCTTCATGCAGTCTGGCCTCAAGGATGCTGGCGGTGAGCCCTTGATGCATGCGTGTCCCACATGCACTGCACTGGAAGCCACTTCTGTGGGGCTCCCATCCATGATGGGAGTTGGTCCATGGCTTCTTGCACTGGCTGACCAAGTCCTTTTTGCGCTGCTTGGTGCGCTTGCCTTGGTGGCGTGGGGGCTTTGACATGGACGTAGTGAGATTTGTCCCCATAGATCTTTGCCAGTCTGTTAGCAGCGTGCTGGTAGATGAGGGCGTGGTCTCGGTCCAACGTCTCTTGCCACTCAGTGTTTCTTTTGTCGAGTAGGCTGTTTGCACGTTCCCAAGCGACTAAGGCAGAATCTCTTCGCCACTTTGCCTTCTCCGCAACTGTGGTTCCCTGCCAGGTGCCTCAGGAGAGCTGGTGTTGCGGCTGACATAGAGGACTGTGATCCTCTGCATATCTTGCTCTGTGAGATCTTCGAGCAAGTCTATGTAGGCTTGTCGCTGATGCTGCTGTGTCCATGCTTCCCACACTCTGGTGAGTTGAACAATCACCCTGATTCGCCAAGGCAACCAAACCTGTTTTGTTCTGGGGGCCTGTTGGTATGCCTGTGATGGCCCCAACGCGCTTGAGTTGGCCCAAGGACATTGCGCGCACACAAAGCCCAAAGACCCAGAGCTGACTGCGGGAGTCGTGTGAAAGCCCAGCCTTGGTGCTGGTGTGGCGCAATGGGCTGAAGTGTTTGCCAGGCACCGTGTCCTTGCAAGGGGTGCTCTTGAGTTCTGAGATCCTGAGGCTCCAAAGGGATCCATCCCGCACTCCAAAGTGGTTCCTCTTCCGGGCAGTTGATGCGTGTCATCCATTCTGCTGGCATGGGCGCATGCTCTTGGGCGCGATGCCACTTACACATCCAGATGATGTGTTTGGGAGTAGCTGGGACCGGCAGATTGGACATGGCTTATGTTTGCTGGCTTCTCGATGTTGTACTGCATATTGGACCCAAGTGGCCAAACGCTGCTTCTGCCTTGCTGGGAGCTGCTTGCTCACTTTGCGGTACGCATGCCAGTCAAGACCTGTGGAGCAGGCGCTGGTGGTTGGGTTTGGCCGCCAGTCTGCTGATTCGTTGTTGGCGTGCTTCGGTGAGCAGGGCCAGCTTCCACCATGGATCCCTCAAGGTGAGGGTGTTTGCCAACATGTATGGCGTTTCAGGGCGAGTCCAGCGGAGCAAGTCTTGTACCTGCCACTGCCATTCTTGGAGGTAGGCAATGGCTGCCGCCATCTGGCCTTTCAAAGTGTACTATATGGATGGGCCTTGGTTTGGAGTTGCTGCTGGGTTTGGCTCCACGCCTTCTCCAGGTACTGGGGCTGATCAGGTGGCCAGGACTGGACCAAGGTGTGCAGTGCTTGGATGCGGTGGATGACGACTTGATCTGCTGGATCAAGATAGCTGTTGCTGCGCAGATCATAGGCGCTATCCAAGAGGCCATCCTGGTTGCGCCCTAGTTGTTTGGCAAGTGCTTGTCGGAGGGCTGTCCGGTATCTTGGAGCTAATCCTTGGCCTTCAGCTCCCCACATGGCAACTGGCTGGATTCCTCCTCTGTGAAGGCGGAGTCGCAGTTGCAGAGCCGGCAGCTTCAAGTTGCGTAACTTGATCCTGCGGCGCTGGGCTTTACGGAGTCTTTGTTTCAGCACTGGGATCCGTCGTCTTCTGGCAGCTTGATGGTCAATGCCAAGATCCCTCATCACTGAAGCCACAGGTGGTTCATCCTCATGAAGAAGGTCACGTAGGGCTTTGTCAGTTGTTCTGTCAGTGGCAATGAAGGCCGTTTTCTTGGGGTTGACAAGGAAGGATTGCTGGTGCCAGGACTGCCTTGGCTAGCAGTGGCGCTTGTGGGCATCCGGCCGGAATGCCTTTGTTGACCGTGAAGAAGGGGGTCATCTCTTGTTCTGCAACTATGGCTTTTGGCCCTGTGTAGACCTGCATTGCCAGTTCCAACAACAGCGGCGGAGAGTTGAGCCTCACGGCTTCTTCTTGCAACCTGGTGAGGTGGGCGGCGTCGTAGAAGGTGGACATGTCCATCAGCGCTGTCACACCATGGTGGCCATGGGCTTTGTGGGCTTCTTGCCGCAAAAGCCTTTCTAAGGCCACGTGGAGGACATTCGCGCCAGGTCTGGCCCTGTCATGGTCCATCTGGCGACTGGTCAAGCAATGGCTTTCTGAGCCAACACCAAACCCTGTAGAGCACGGAGGTCAAAGTGATGGGCCTTTCCAGGGTGGTATTCTTTGGCAACATCACCACCATGTGCATTCGTTGCTGCGTTGGAAGCTGTGCTTGTTGTTCCATGTCTTGATATAGCTTCAGGAGTGGTGCCAAGGACAGCGGTGGAGCCTGTTTTAAGAGTTGAGCCGACACTGCATCAGGTCCACTGGCCTTGTCTGGCAGTGCTTTGAAGACTCTGGCCAGCTGTCCAGTTGTGAGTGGTGGCAGCTGCTGTGCTTGTTGCTGCGCTTGTTCTTGTAAGCTGGGTCTGGGACGTGGTTCATTGTCTTGTCGGATGTCCCAGAGCCGTCCCAAATCTTGGAGTCTGTGATCCATTCGCTGTCGCTGGGGTTGTGGTATGTTTCTGTAGGGTCTCTCCCAGGCGACCTCGCTGCTTTTCAGGTTTCTGAACAGCCCGCGGAGGCCCTTGGCCTGGCCCTGGAGCAGCCACTCTTTGTACTGCAGGTGGGCTTCATCATGCGCAACTTCCTGGTGGGCCATCGTGCACTGAAGTAGTGTGGCCGCATGTGGATCTCTGAATTTCTCCCAGTGATGACACGCGTCGAGAAATTGGCCTCGTGTGGGTGTTCCAACCCAGTGTTTGCGCACATCTTCGATGGCCTGCATGAAACCTTTGGTAGGGCCTCCTCTATGTGGCGGCGGCTGCTTTTGCGCACATTGGAAACGGACCTGGAGTTGCTCGGTGAGGAGTGCATGTGGCCTCCATGGGATGGCCCAATCTGTGGTCAGTGCCGAGGTGCCAGCCAGTGTGTCACGCACTAAGTAGTAGTCCAAGACATTGCCTGATAGTGTGGTCTGGTGCCAAGATCCCAAAGTGAAATTTTGATGAGAGCACCATGCTGGAGATTGCACTTGGAGGGTTCTTCCAATCGCCAAAGATGACGTACGGGTGTGCTGTGGCCTCCAGCAAAACAGGGAGAATGGACATGATCGTGGCATTGGTGTCACTTTGCAGGGTCTCATGCGTTTTCAGGTAGACCCCAGCAACCAAAATGGTGCACTGTGTAGCTTGCCACAAAAATGCCTGAAACCCGCATCCTTCGATGGAGAAAGCTTCAACAGGAGTCAGGCCACAGAGGAGGGGTCAGCCAAGGGATGCCTCCGTGCGTGCCACTGTTGTCCTCATTGGGGAAAGCTGGAAAAGCTGCGCGCCCACGGACAGTGTAGTACTGGAGGGTCTGTTGGTGACGTTGTGGATCAAGGGGTGTCTCCACAAAGATGTAGACCTCACTTTGTCTTGTCCAGTACCAGTCTATCACTTGGCGGCCGAAATTCGTCACATTGCCAAAGTGCAATTTGTTGCGCTGTTGTTCGAGCCGTGGTCGTTTGTCTGGGCTGCTATTAAGCGGAGGATCGAAATCGGGCTCTTCAGCTGGCGGCAAGGATCTAATGACCTGTTGCGTCGTTCGAAAAGTGTCGATATGCACTGCCCATAGTTGGGTTATCTGGCTTGCCAGCAAAGGAGTCAAGTGGTCCAGATGCATTGGTGGCTTGCCATCGTCTGCAATCCACATCAGATCACGATAGATGAGTGTGGCAAAGTAATGGCCTGCTTCATGACTTGGGCCTCTGTGGCATATGAGCGCTGCAGGCACAAACTCTGAGGATGTTCTTGCAAAGCCATCCAATGATCTGGGAACTGTGAAAGTTCCATATGGGTTGAGGATCTTGGCGTTTTTCGTGGCCACACCTGCTATTTCTGTGTTTCTGGTGACATGAGTGACCAGTACTGGCTTGTCGTCCATGAGATACTGTCCCATGCCCTCGTTCGACCAACCATTGATGAGGTCTTGAAAGGTGGTGTTCTCCGGCCAGTCATCTGGATATGGGGCCAGCAGAGGTTGCTGTACATGATCAGTCAAATAACCACCAGCTTTGATCTCTGCATATCTGCAATGGAATGCTCTTGTCTGTGAGAGATTCCGCAACGAGTTGACAAAGTGGTTGGCATCACCCTGCACATTGAGATCATGCTTCTTCCACAGCTGCTGTAGTCCTGGTAGCTGGCGGATGTCGACTTCTTCAGCCAGCTCAAGTGACTCTTGGACTGCATCTTGTAAATTGCCCCAAGGCTGTGTGTTCGTCTCCTGGAGCAACGCACAGGTCCATGCGAAGGCTCGCCAGGGTGCGTTGGCGTAGCATCGAGCGCTGGGGTTGCCAACCTTCATGGATAAGTTTTGGAGGATGCACTCTGTAGTGGATCCATAGGTGTTTTGCATCTTCTTCTGTGTAGGCTTCCGGAAGGCCGCCTTGTTCTTCTGTTGTCCTCCACCTTTGATGGAGATCACATGGGGTCCCAACGCGCCGAAAGCCGGTGGGTCAGGTTGCAATATCTCTGGTGTGTCAGCTTGAGAAGCTGGCTCAAAATTGTTGAACTCAGTCAATGTGCGTTGGGTTGCGCTGCTCTCTGACTGCAAAGTGATTTCCCCTTCATCTTTGCAAGAGAAGTCCCCTGGTTCTTGAAAAGGTGCCACAGGTTGGCGTCGTTGTGTACGACCCCCCGCACATCGACTTTCCTGTGTGTCAAAATTGCTTGCTGAGCTTGAGGCAGCGCGGCAAACCATCTGATTGGATGGGAGGTGTTGTTCTGGCGCCCAATCGAAGTCATCAAGGGGTATGGGCACCCAAATCCCTTGCATGTCCCCTGCGTTGGCCTGGAGTGGGTTACCCACACTGTCCTCCTGCAGGAGGTGTCACATTGCCATCTGTTTTCCTGCGCTTGCTGGGGTCTTCAGCTTCTGGGATTGGCCTTTTTAGCAATACGTGTAACTGACTTCGCTGCTCTTCAGTCAGCGTGAGTCCAAGGCTGTCACAAAAGTTTCCACCACCATAGGGATTGGTGTGTCTCCGATGGAGCTCCTCTGGAGTGGGTGCCTGGTTGACCACCTTCATGTACTGGTCAGAGAGGTCCTTCAACCGCTGCTGCCCTTCATTGAGCTTGGTCTGGAGGTCTTGCATGTCTTGAAGCATTGCAGCATATTATGCTTTGACCTGATCCAGCCTCGTTTGAAGCTGTGTCTTGCGGACTGAGATGTTTTTCAGGTCGGTCACCTGGGTTTTGAGCTTGTTGGCAATGTCCTTTTCTGTATCTGGGGATGGTTGGGTGATCTTGGTGACAACTTCCTGCACTGCTTGTGGCAAAGGTGACATGTGGCTTTTGAGGAGGGCCGTAAGCTCTGGTTCCTCTTGTGGTGGCGGTCCCAAGCCAAGCGCCTGGAGCTTGCCTTGAATGCCCTCCGGGATGACATTCTAAGTGGATGCCAGCAGTTCTGCTGCAGCTGCTTGCTGTTCCTTGGCTTTCTTGAGCGGCTTGAGCATCGTCAAACCTGGCGGTGTGTCAAGCAGGCTGTCTTGCGCTCTCTTGGTCCAATTGGTCCAATTGGATAGTTCCTGGAACTTTCTATTCCCATGGCCCTGACCCTTGCCTTTCCCTGTGGCTTTGGTCAGCGTTGGCCACCGTGTCCCACACTTTCTGCACCTTGTGCCTGGGTTCAGCTTGTCATCCCTGCGGCACGAGTTATGGCCGCACACCGCGCAGCTCCTGCCCAGGATGATGTCCGGGATGGTGTCATTCTGCCTGGGGCAGATGACCTCAAGGGCCTTCTCGCAGACCTGGGAGGGGGCAAGGTGCTTGGCACCGAACACGTACTGGCCTTTGGGCTCCTCAAGGTCGTAATACCAGTCCTCTTGAAGGGTTCGAGGAAGTAGCCAGGCGAGACCTTGCCAGTTGCCCTGGATCTTGACAGAAGCGAGGAAGGCGGTCTTGTGAGATCACGGGCAAAGAACAAAGGTACTTGACCTTCACCGGGCCGTGGTCGATGTCAATGTCCTTGCACCTGAAGCGCTTGGGGCGCCGCGCAAGCCCGTCTTCAAGGGCAGCGGGCTTGAGCACTTGCGGCTTGAGCCATGTATGTATGTATGCATGCATGCGTGTATAAAACACAAAACTACGAAACTTCATAAGCAACAAAAAACAGCGGGCCAGAAGCCGAAGGCGTAGAAGCCCCTTTTCAGTCAAGCGCTCACGCAGAGGACATTGGCCTGCTAGGGCTAGGCAGCTAGACTCCGACGAACGATGTTAGTTGTTAAGCTGCTCAATGAGGCAGGCTTGACATCCATGGCTACATTTAGGTTGACGCGCCCCTGCTTAACGATGTTGCAAAAGGCCTTTAAGCGCCAACCTCACCTTGGCGAGCCTTCCATCCGGAACACGCTGGCGCACGCTCTCACATAAGTCAGTTCAAGCCCAAGCCGCAACTGACCTGAAGCAGGGGCCGCCCATTGGACACAGCAGCTTGGGCACACAACTTGGCAACGCATAGGTACCGGACAAAAACCTGCCACGCGCAAACACACACTCGAGATATGCGTACTGACAGGCAAAAGTAAGGTGGTCTGAACATCCAGGGAATCCTCAATCGTAATTTCGTCGTAGTTAGGAGGCCAAAGTCTCAAAGCTCGATCAAAAAGACGACGAGCGCTCCCATGATTGCGGTAGCTTCGTTGAGTGTGGTCCCACAATCATTTCGCACTCCCCTGCTGAACAAACCAAAACAAATCAACCGATTCCCTGTGACTCAAAGTTCCAGTGAGGGAACGTACCGCCAGTGGAAGTTCAGTTGCGCAGTACACATGACTAGTTACTTAGTGCAAAACCACAAGAGTTGTGAGTCCGTCAACTTGAAGGTGTTTGAACAACAGCGCCGTAAAAAGCGACTCCGCGGCTGCATCAGCACATTATGGAAGAGTAGGGTGAACAGCTTGGCCAAAAGTTCAAAAAATCGCAGGTGCGTCACTGGACGTCTCCAGCGATATCCTCAGAAAACTGCAGAGAGCTTTGTTAAGTGACACACACACACACCGCCGCAGAGCGGCGCTCGCTTGATCTAAGAAGGCAACAACGCAGTAGACTCAGTAGACAGCCTGGAAATTACGTAGGTTCTAGAGAGCGACCGGAAAAAAGAACGAATACTTAGCACTTGGCAAAGAGGCCTCATTACATACCTACAAGGCCTCTAGAGAAGAGTCAGACCTAGACAGAGAAACAAAAAGGCAAGAACGAATCCGAGGGGGGGGGGGCATCAAAACGAGCCTGAAGAGCAACCTAACAAGCCTGAAAGAACACCTACAAAACAAAGAAAACCGCAAGAGAGAAAAAGGTGATGGAGGAATTGAAACAAGCTTGGCATGCTGAAGAAAGTAAACGCGCGTGATCAACATGCCCAAACCAGTGTATATCCGCTCACTGCGCTTGTGGCCTGCCCGAAGGTGAGGTCTGAGCCTCCAGCCGCAGCCGTTGCACTGAGCACAGCTCGAAGCCATCTTGCTCGAGCCAAAGCTCTGCCCAAAGCCATCGCCGGTTCAGCCGATGAAAAGAAGGACTGTATTCACCGCTGTCACCATACTCAACCGTGAGGAGGGCTTCCATGGAAACTGCTTTGCCGGATAAATCCAGCAAGCCTCGGAACTCTTCAGGCTTGAAAATCTACTGCAAAGGTGCACCCCCGTCTCTCAAGCAACTGAATCCTAGCGGCTAGCGTATCAGGCGACGAGACCCCAGCTGAGCACGTGACAAAACCTGGCATATTCTACTTCCCCGACATTGATGCAGATCAGGTCTGTCTCGAAGTCATTCAGGATGTCAAGCCGTCCTCGTGTGCTTAATTCAGAAAAAGCCTGTACAGCTGCGGCGCGCGCCTGCTCTGCAAAGGAATGGTATGACACCAATCGGCCAGTTCTCACCTCAAAGTCCAGGCATTGCAACTCTCCCACAGCTCTCGTACAGGTCTCATCAACTTCCAACAACTTGCCGACAAGACGTTGTAGCAAAGTCAAGCAGCGAAGCATGAGCCTGCTGATTCTGATATGGTACAGTTCATTGTCATCTGACACAACGCCGGGTTCTACTCCTCTCTGCAACAGGGCGGATGCAACTACACACTCATTCAATGGATCCGCAGCCATAATCAAAAGTTCTTCGCATCTGAGAGTAATCTTCTCGAAGCTTCCAATGTTGGTGAACATGTCTTTGCAAAGCGGTCGCAAAGGCAAAAGTTCAGCTGTGCAAAGCATGTCTTTCGCACGACGAAGTGCTTTGGCCCAGCTGTGGTGCAAAGCTTGACAGCATGCCAGGCCATTGATGCAGCCAACGCCTCCAAAAGGCATTTCATCACATATTGAGGGCAAAGTTCTAAATTCTGTTTGCCAATCATTGCATGTGCTTAGCACTTCAAAAATTGAAGCTTCCAGGCCTTCGAATTTTAGGATCAAAACTGACTACATGTATCTATGTATATCTGTATGTATATATATATACATATGTATGTGTGTGAAGCCCAAAATGATCCTTGAGGGAATGATTTCTACACAGCCCGAAGACTGAACCAACACAGCCGCTTTTCTGCGAGTTGAAAGCACACTGAACATAAACGAGGGGTGAAAGCACACTTCCATGGCTTTGAGCGTTCCTTTTCAGAACTGCACTTGGAATATGCCATCACACCTCAGAACTATACAGCCTGCGCGAAAGCTAATCAAACGATTCCAGCGCACCATGACACGCACCGATCAGCTCGCAAAGCTCAGGCCTGGGTTCGCAGCTGTCGAAAAGGAAAAACACAAACAAACGACCCCTGTTTGCATCCAAAAATGACCGTGCGGCACCCTCCTAGTTGCCACAAAGCTTCTGTGTGCTGATTTTCTTGTTGACCCACTGTGATGGATCTCCTCTGGACCTTCCTGCTTCTGCAGCTTTCCTGCCCAAATTAACACTGTGCAAAAGGTGATTTCAAATTCTTCCAGGGAGCTTGTCTGCGAAAGGTATGCCAAACCCTTGTCTGATAGAATCAGGCAGCGCAGTTCAGCCAAGTTGCACATACTTGGAGAAGTTCTGAGCCGAGAGCCCAAGTTTGTCCCCATCCAAAGTACCTCTCATGACAAGAAGCAGATGGGACCTTTCTTTGCTTTGTAAAGCGGCGTTGATTCGTAGCTTCCCAACTGGCGCTACTACCAATTCGGGTGTGGCAATGGAGTTGGCAGGCAAGTCAAGGCAAGCCAGATTCCTAAATTCCTATTCATTACATTCAAGAGCCCTGCCTGACAAGTGGGCGGTGGCCACAAAGCCACTCCTATACTTGGTCAAGCGTGAAGCAGCTGTTGAGAAGCGATAGGGTCGTGTGCAAAACCTGGGCAATCCCCTTTGACATCACAGGCGAGCTGATAATCTGAAAGAGATGTGAAGGTCTGCATTCAACACACAAAGGCTTCAACCGCAACAATGACATTACAGCTGTAAGCCCTGAACTCAACAGGCCGACCATGCCTTGCCGTGTAGCAGCTTGAAAAGTGTGGCTATCACCATGCAACAGGTTATGTCGTCAGTGTCGGCTGAGCACAAGTCATGTGAGTCTTCGGACCCTTCAGAGCATTCTCTGCTTCCTCACCTTGGCAGCGCAGCAGTGTGCAAACATGAACCTCTTCACTAGGGGCTCCTGGCATCGCTACTAGTAACAAGAACCTACTGAGGGCTCCTGGCCTTACTACGAGGAGCAAGGACACTACTAGGGGCTCCTGGCTCTCTCCCTCTCTCTCTCAGCAGAAGTACCGCCGAGTCACGTAGAACCAAGCCAACACGTGCAGAGCAACGGACGTGGTCTGAGCGGGATTCAAGTGCTGGTGCCAAACGCAGTCCTGAAGGTACAATGTTTGTTCAACCACGAATGTAAGGAGAGGACATCTACAGAACCAATTGCTTTCTTGAAAAACAAACAACAAATCGAGCATTGTCTTCGCATTAATGCCTATGCCTATACCCACATTACCAACGACAACGTCTTTCAACTGCCACTCCCAGTCCTTCGGTGCTGGCAGCAGGAAGTTCTGCGGCCTCAACACGCAGCGTGGAACATGTTGCACGAGAATCTCGAAGAGCAATTTCATTTGCTGTGAGTTCGTGACACTTCGCCCTGCTGCAAAGGCAGCAATGGATTCTTTGCCTTACATGACAAACCAAATTCTCTGCATGCGCTAGCTAAAAAAGAGAAATGAAACAAACAATGATTAAAAAGAAAACATAGAATTCGGTAAATACACTTTCTCGAGTAGACTAAGCCCATGGTAGAATCTTTCTTGTCTTGAACCGATATGTGAAAGCGGTACTGTGACGGCGGCAAGTGACCATTTAGCTCCAAGATCTTGTCCACGACCAAGCAAGGCCCTTCGATCAACTTGTCAGAAGAGTCTATCACAGCTCGGACTAGCAGACCGGCAAACACGTTCTGCTCTTTGTCCCCGCATGCCAAGTCCATTCCTTTGAAGCTCCCGCTTTTGTAGGTGCCACCCTTTCTGTGGAAGTACCACACGCCACAACTTGCTTGCCTTGGCAGCAAGAGTGGTGCCGACTTCTCTTTTATCTGGAAAGTATGCTGTTCGGCTTTACTGCATCTTGTGCTGGATGCTTCTCTGCACCAGAACTGGCTTTCTGGTCCTACACCTCTCTTATACCAAAGCGCCCTTCGTCCCCATGGGCATACGGGTCAGCATGATGCGGGCTGTGCAAATATGCCTCCACTTCGGCAATGCGAAAAGCTTTCTCTGCAATCCTCACCAGGCTTCTTTTGTGGAGGCCCACCCGACCATCAAAAGAGAAGAGCATAACTTGCGCACAACACAAATTGTCAAGTTGCACCTCTCACACAATTTAAAGAGGAATTGTTGTACATGTGCATATATTCATGCATATGTTTGTGCATATGTATATATATATATGTATGTGTATATTTATATATATGTGTAAATATATGTATATATATATATGTACATACACACATATGTTACACATGTGAGCAGTATGAGGTCAAAGCTCCACAGGTCCCAGCTGTTCATCAGCTCAGCAGCAGCTGATTGTAGCGCGGCCACTTGAGCTGCATAGCTTGGCTTCCCTGCCAGCCCTGACCTGCAGCGACTGTCTTACGCTGTTTTTACAGTACAATACACTGCCATCTAGATACATCCTCGCCTGAGACTCCCAAGCCTTGGCCAAGAACCGACAAGAACCCAGGTGCCGGGGCGCAGTCAGGTGGGCTCTGAAAATGCAGCAAAGCAACGTCTCCCTCAACACCGAGTCCACGTCCGCCGGCGGCTTCAGGCATTGCTTCTTGGGCGCAGTTGCCTCTTCAGCCGGTGACACCGTGGCAGCTGGGCGTTTCAAGGCGCTCTTTGGCGGCATCGTCGGCTCTGGTTTTTTTGTCTTCGCGTTGGAATTAGTAGCGTCCTTGCTCCTAGTAGTACGGCCAGGAGCCCCTAGTAGTTTCTTGCTCCTAGTAGCGATGCCAGGAGCCCCCAGTAGCGTCCTTGTTCCAGTAATGTCTTTGATAAACATATGGATTTCTTGAATCTTCGTAGGCTACAGTGTCTGTCCAGCGAGTAGCTGTCCCACGTGGTGATTTTGTGTACAGTACACAGCGTCTGTCGTCGCAAGCGGTGACAAAACGATCGAGCACTGGACTCTTCCTGAGCCAAGCTCAATCTTGTCAATCTGTAAATGTGTTGGCGACCAGTTCAGACACTGCTGAGAGCCAAAGTGCGATAAAAGATAGAACATGCCACATGTCACCTAGAATGGCACCTAGAATGGCTTTGAACTCAATTGCAAGTCAAGCTGAGTGAAGATCAACTGCAAATTCATCAAATCACTGGTGTGTGAAGCATGCACAGACTGTGAGAGAAACGGCAAAGGAGTTGCGGATAATTGCGGTAGGATATCCAGCAAAAAAACTTGGCAAACTGTATCCCATTTGACATTGTGACGTATATACTCTTCCAACCTGGTATTGCAAGTTCTAGCAAGATCAACTAGACGACGAGTGGCCCGAAAGACTTTTCATCACGTATGAAGTCAGAGTGTGAGTTGTGTGTTAAGTGTTCAGTGTTAAGTCGAGTGAGTTGAGGCAGTGTGTGGGTCTCTGTGTGTGTATCTATGTCTGTGTGTGTATGAGTCCCTGTCTGTGTGTGTGTGTGTCTATGTCTGCTGCTGGTAAGGGGAAATGGTGAAGGTCTTCACTCTAGATATAGTGAACCAAGTAGCGCGCAGGCCTCCCAAACCCCCCACCGGCGGCCAAGCGGTGACAGCTCAGCTCATCTTCGTGAGCATTTGAGCTGCTGGTAAGGACAAATGGTGAAGTTCTTCACTATAGATATAGTGAACCAAGTAGCGCGCAGGCCTCCCAAACCCCCCACCGGCAGCCAAGCGGTGACAGCTCAGCTCATCTTCGAGAGCATTTGAGCTGCTGGTAAGGGGAAATAGTAAAGCGTCCATGCGCAGGTGACACGGCAGCACAACAGTCTGGCTCAGGAGCGCCCACCTCTTGGTGTCTTTCTCGCTGCGTCCGCACAACGCTGAATAGGTCCACCACACACTGTTCGCAAACATAACCCATAATACCACCACTCATTCCTCTCTGAGGCGACACGCCGTCTTGTCGGACACCTTTGTGAGACACTCTTGTGGGTCATCCCCAGCTACTCCGCGCACTACAGTTGTACCACAAAGTCGCCAGTTCTCATCTTCCAGCTCCCCAGCTATTCCGCGTACTACAGTTGTACTCCTACTGAAGTTGTACTACGACGTCCCCAGTTCTCATCTTCCAGCTCCCCAGGCGCTCCGCATCTACGGTTTTACTACAAAGTCGCCAGTTCTCATCTTCCAGCTCCCCAGCTACTCCGCGCACTACAGTTGTACTACAAAGTCGCCAGTTCTCATCTTCCAGCTCCCCAGATACTCCGCGTGCTAAGGTTGTACTACACAGTCGCCAGTTCTCATCTTCCAGCTCCCCAGATACTCCGCGCACTACAGTTGTACTACCAAGTCGCCAGTTCTCATCTTCCAGCTCCCCAGATCTCCGCGCACTAAACT